TGAGACCCTTTGGAAAAGTGAATATACTATTTTAACTTCTTTCAACAATATCGAAGAGTTGTTTCTTCCACACTTGAAATGGTCTTTTTTTCATTTTAGCCACTCGAGTGGGCAAGTTAGTTGTATCACATGTGATTCTAATTTACATTTCCCTAATGGTTCACGATGTTGAGCATTTTTTTAAATGTGCAAATTGGTCATTTCTATATCCTCTTTTGTGGCAACTGTTCCTTTGTCCTTGTTGAAAAGTTAGGTTGATTTTGTTATTTTTGAGCGATAGAGCTTTTTCATGGTATCAATCCTTTAGCAAATGTATGCTTCATTTTTTTTTTTATTTACACAAAAACGTATTTTTCCTCGTTTCTGGATGCTGGGAGTCTGGGATCGGTGTTGGCTGTGTTGCCTTCTTCAGAGGCTGAGGGGAATATGTGCCTCTCTTCTGGCTTCTGGAAGCGCCAGGTGTTCTGTGACGAGCGGCTGCATTGTCAACTCCAGCTCCTCTTCTGTCGCCCTGTGTTTCCTCACTTCCACGTCGCCACTTACAGTGGAAGTGGACCAATCACTGGAATTGAGCCAGTCACAAACTTCAAAAAGTTTGTGAGAAAAGTGAGATTTTTGAAAATAACATTTTTCTTTTTCTTTTTTTAAATAATCATTTTATTAGGGGCTCATACAACTCATCACAATCCATACATACATCATTTGTGTCTGGCACATGAGTACATAGGTTGACTTCATCATTCTCACACCTGCTTTCCACTTGAGCCCTTGGTGTCAGCTCATTTCCCCCCTCCCTCCCCACTCCCCCTGAACCCTTGATAATTTATAAATTATCATTTTATCAGGTCTTACCCGATCCAACGTCTCCCTCACCCACTTCTCCGCTGTCCGTCCCCCAGGGAGGAGGCTATCTGTAGACCTTGTCATCTGTTCCCCCTTTCTCCTTTACCTTCCCTCCACTCTCTCTCCACTGTCCTGGGTTCACTGTATTTCCAGTTCCTATCTGTGCCAGTGTACATCCTCCAGTCCAGCCGGATATATCAGGTAGAATTGGGATCATGGTAGGGGGAAGAGGAAGCATTTAAGAACTAGAGGGAAATTGCATTTTCATTTTTGCTACACTGCACTCTGATTGGCTCCTCTCCTCCCCGCAGCCCGTCTGCAAGGGGATGTCCAATTTCCCCTCGGATGGGCTCTGGGCCCCCACTCTGAACTCCCCCTTTCACAATGTTATGATTTATTTTGGGTCTTTGATGCCTGATACCTGATCCCTTCACCGCCTTGTCATCTTACAGGCTGGTGTGCTTCTTCCATGTGGGCTTTGTTGTTTCTCAGTGAGATGGCTCCTTGTTTATCTTCCAGCATGTGGGACCCCAGATTCTATGTAATTTGACAGCTTGGCACCATCAGCTTTCTTCACTGCATTTGCTTATGTACCTGCTTTGTCTTCAGCATTCGTGTTGGAGTAGGCTGGTGTGCTTCTTCCTTGTGGGTTTTGTTGTTTCTTAGCTAGATGGCCGTCTGTTTGTCTTCAAGCCTTTAAGACCCCAGATGCTGTGTCATTTTTCATTTTTTAATTAAAATATTTTTATTTCTTTTAATCATTTTATTAGTGGCTCATACAACTCATCACAAGCCATACATACATCAATTGTGTAAAGCACATTTGTACATTTATTGCGCTTATCATTCTCAAAACATCTGCTATCCACTTAAGCCTCTGGCCTCAGTTTGTTTTTCCCTCTCCCTCCCCGCTCTCTCCTCCCTCATGAACTCTTGATAATTTATAAATTATTATTTTGTCATATCTTGCCCTGTCCGATGTCTCCCTTCACCCACTCTTCTGTTGTCCGTCCCCCAGGGAAGAGGTCACAAGTAGATCCTTGTAATCGGTTCCCCCTTTCCAACCTACCCTCCCTCTATGCTCCCAGTATCACCACTCACACCACTGGTCCTGAAGGGATCATCCGCCCTGGATTCTCTGTTTGCGACGTGAACATTTTTCTATGAATATTTTCTTCATTGTGAAAGAGGCAAAGGATTGCAGAGTGGACTATCAGTTTGACCTTCAACACTTCATCACATGTTGGGTCAGTCCATCGCTCGTCATCCGTCGATGCACCATGACCTCTCCGTTTCCTTCCAGGCTTCCTTTGTCCTCCTCTGAACAGTAGCTTTGGCACATGCTACCCATTTGCTCCTAAATGCTTATCCTATCACAGGAATGAGTTCGATTCCAGACCTCAAGGGTAAGAAGCCCACAAGTCTCCATCCAACCAGTAAGTTTGGTCTCTTTAATTATTTTTGAGATTTGTTCATTTCCCCCACTGTAACCAGGGCCTTCAAATGTGATCCTCCAGAGAAGCTGGCAGCGGTCACCGGGAACCTCCAGTCCTGGGATCAAGATTATGGAGATTGATGTTTGCTTGGTCCATTATTTTATTATTTTTCATATGTATTTCAATTTTTATTTTACAAATATTTTTCTCCAATTATAGCTTCTTTATTTATTCTTGGTGTCTGGATAATTAACAGGTTAAAATTTTGATAAAGTGTAAATTATGCACTTTTTATTTGATAAGTGTTTCTTTCTGTACCTCAAAAATCTTTTCCTGTCTCCAAGTCACAAAAGTGTTCCCCTTATTTTCATTTTTGTGGATCCTTTTCTATGACAATAATGTACTTGATGACCCTTAATCATCATCATTCTGTAGCTTACTAAGTCTGAGATCACATTCTATGTTCTCCAATTTAGCTCTATTTTAATGAGCTTGTTAGGAAGCTAGATTTAGGCACGGGGGTTGTCTCTCCCATGTCTGCAAAGGCCCCCATAAAAGAGGTTGGAAAGAAATCAGGCAACAATCAGATGCCTATGAAGACCCCAAACTGAGCATGCTCATACTCAAGCCCCCAGTCAGGTGGGAGGCACACCTGGGCGGTCCAAACTAGGCCCAGGCTCATGACATCAGCCAGGTAGGCTCAACCCAGCCAATGGGGTCAACCAGTACCTTCAACGATGCCTTCCCCCAGCCAGGGGCTGGGCTAGAATAAAGGCAGGAAGCAAGCTTGGGGCTCCCTTATACCCTCTCTTACCCTGCCCCTGGTCAGTAGTAGGTCAGAGGGTAGGAGCCCGCATCCTCTCTTATCCCCGTGCTCTGGCCCCCTCACTCCCTGGCCTCCATGCCCTCTTGCCTCCCCCCCAACCCCTTGGTCCCAGGATCCCCCCACCCCCAGTTCCTCACATGTGGGTGCTCTTTTCCAAGAGGTTGTTCGTGCCCAGTTGTGAACCCCTTTGAGACTGTAAAACCTGAAACTGGTCCTGTCCTTCATAAAAACGCACTTGGATTACAAAATGGGTTTCGGTGTAAATTCTTTCAGTGTGTCAAGCCAAGAACCGAGAAACCTAACAATTACCTTGGATATTCCAGATCCTTGGCATTTTTACATAAATGTTTAAATTATTTTGTTAATGCCTACCAAAAAGCCCTGCTAGGATTATGACTGAGATGCAATTAATTTATAAATCTCTTTGGGTAGAATTGACATCTTGCCAATATTGCCTTCCAATACTAGTAATGTGTTCTATCTATATATCTATTTAAACATGTTTTACTTTGTCAGATTTCTTTTATAATTGTAACTGTTTCAAAAAATTCAACTTTTTCCAAATGTTTCTGGAAAAATGGAATTTTTCCATGAATTTTTGAAATTCCCTCAAGCGTGTTATGCGTGTTTCATTAAATAATTCATAGCACTTTGATTTTCGATGCTATGATAAAAAGAATTTAAATGCTTCTGTTTACTGTATAGTATAAAATACAATTATTTTGGGAACTATAACCTTGTATATTGCTGAATTATTAGTGCTAATAAAGATCCCTTAGACCTTTACAGATTAATTGCATCATTTGCAGATGGACAGATTTGCTTCTTCCTTTCTCGTCTTTCTGCCTTTAATCTCTCTTTCTTGCCTTTCGCACAGGCTATGCAATGGCATGTTGAATGGAAGGGGTGAAAGCCAGTGTGAAGGGAAAATCATTCACAGTTTTGCCATTAGGTATAATCTTAGAGGCAGGGCTTCCATCAATGCCTGGTAAAAGATTGAAAAAAATCTTGTCTATTCCTAGTCTTATAATAGTTTTTATTTTATTTCTTACATCATGAATGAACACAATATTTCACTACATGTGTTTTCTCTACCCATTGAGAACATGGCCTGAAATAGCACCAAATTAAACAGTTAAAGGGTAGGTTTTGCTTATCCAACCTATCCTCTACCCACAGCCATATGGATTCTGCACCTCTGGCTAGGAATTTATGGACAGTTCAAACAGATCTCACTTTAAACCTCCCACTCTTTACAGCAGCTCTAATGGCCCCTGTTATAGAACCCATAAATCTGAGATGGGAGCGAACATGTTAGGTAGCGTAGCACAGGGACTCCTGAGTCCAGTACACATGCTCAGAGGTTGGAGCTTCTGGTGAGGAAGGGGTGGTACACCTAGGTGGGCGTTGTGCCTAATTGGCCCATCTGAGCCAGGTGACTTCCATTCAACCAATGGAGTTGACCAGGGTCGTCAACCACACCTCCCTATGGAGGAATGAAAGAGGCCAGAGGTTTTGCTCTGGCATGCACTCCCCTGGCGGCTGCTACACAGGGCAGCCCTCCTGCCAGGCTGCGGTCCCAGTGCAGCCAGGCCCCGGTCCCGCGACCTGCCAAGGGCCCTCTGCCTTGTGTTCCATTGACTGTAGAACCTGAAACTGCTTCTACCTTTCAGAAAACTCACTTGGATCACAAACCAGGCTTCGGCGTGAATCCTTTCTCGTGAGAAGCCTAGGACCACGAAAGAGATCTACCAAACATACGAATATTAGTTTCATCTAGTGGCATATGACTTTTCAATCAAAGTACACAAGTTTTTTTTAGAAAACAGTGGGAAAAAATGCCTGGAAAAAAAGATACCATCTTTAAATTGCAGGATGTGGTGTGTCTGGGGAAAACGGAAAATGCTTGAAACGTTTTCACCCGTTCTATATTATTTTTATTAGGTCACATATTTATGGAAAAGAAATTACAAAATGCTTGTTATCAAATAAAAATTACACAAGCCTATGTTTTTTTTTTCAGGAAAGTAATACATTTGTGAAAACCAGTTCAAATATGCTTGAAAGAAGAGACCATGTTATCTCATGTTAGTCTTCAGTCACATACAAGATCTGGGAAGCAGTTGAGAAGCGCCTGAAGGGAAATGTGAATATTAGTTACTCCGCTTGAGAACCTACATCTAAGTACAGCTAATGGCGAAAGGCACAAGACACTGACAAAACTCAACACTCTGCCATCAAGTTGATTCTGACCGTGACAAAGGGACGCACACATTCTCTCAGAGCACATAAGATCACACGTACAAAGTCTTCTTAGGCTTAAAGCTTCTGCTAAGAATATTTCCGATCATTAGATGTACATTGAGAGCTAATAACAATGACTTAAATAATAAGACTCACCAATGGTTTGTAACAAAACTTGTTAAAGTCCATTCTCTTTTCCCCCCAAGAAAGGCAAGTGAGGTAGTTTTTACTGTGTATACATTGCAAAGAAATTAGCATTCCAGTCTGTTCAAAGATCATTGACTCCAAGAATCATGTCCCCAAGTGAACTGTTTAATAAAGAGGTTCCTTTTTTGGCAAAATGGAAGGAACAAAAAAGCCCACTTTAGGGTTTTTTTTTTTCCTGAATAAATCTTCTTAAAATGTTAACCTCTTCTAGTACTTTTCTGCATAAAATGTTTTTCTAGCTTTATATCAAAGTGCTTGGGATGGATTGGGGTAAGAAGCTATTAAGAATATAACCCAGAAACTCAGTAGGATTCATCTTTTGTTTCCAAACACACACTACTTTTATAGATTGGTTACGGAACTTTGTTAAAACAACTCTCTCATGACACAATGACAGTTCTTCCAATGGTTAGATGAAAGGTATTTACAATTTTTTTGCAGGGGTTTATTTACTCTTTAAGAATAAACTTAGGGAGAAAAAAAAAGAATAAACTTAGTTACAAAACAAAACAAAGAGCCTACATTCTGACCATTCAAATATTAGTGTATATTTCTCCTAAAAATTCTATCCAATCAGTTAACTTGTGACTAAGGATAAATGTCATATCCAATGATATTGGGATTGATAGAGGGCCTTCCGTATTTTACTGATATTTGAAAATTGTAACACATTCCTGGATAAACTAGGGGGGACTCTTTTAAAGTTACTGATCCAGCTAAGTTTTTGACATCTAAAACCACACAAAAGAACATGGTGTATGTTCAGTGCTACCTGTGAGCTATTTATTTAAAATTTAGGGCAAGTTGGAACCAATCCTTTACCTTCACAATGCTTGTGTTGGTTCTAAGTGTTTTCAGTCCAATGAAATAAAAATAATTTTTATATAAATACAACAGAATTCAGTATCCTTAAGAGAGGAAATGAAATGAGGATTCTTAGTCATGGTTTTCATATGAAGCTATTTGAATACTTTGTTTCATGCATCGACATAAATTACTGCCGTCTTATTTCATGGGACATAACAATTACAGAAAGTAATAGATTTACTACATTTGTGGGTAAGTGTACTCATTTAAATAGCAAATGCAGAGATATTTTTTTTCAGGATTTAAATTTAGTACTTAAGCTCATGTGCCATCACTTATACTTGGCCAAATGTTGAAAACTGGTAAAATGTGGAAATAAATGTAAACTTACAGAATTTTACTAATGGCTTTTCAAGCAAAGGAAATCAAACTCTCAACTCCACAAATCAAAATAGTAGCTCGTGGAGTTTTCTCTGAAAATACGAAAAAATTCTAGTGGTCAGAAATGCAACTACCTACATTTTGAATGTATGTAATGTTTTGTGTAGACAGAAAAGTATTATGTAGCATGTGTCGGCTTTTTTCTACATATGGGCTTAAATTTTATCATATACTGTATCAAGCTCCGATGAGTATATAAAGTAAAATGTTCCCTGCATTTGTCTGAAAATTTTTTGCCAACTTTTCGAATTGCAGGATAAAAGGAGAGAGGAAGAGAGAGAGTCATTTGGGCCTAAATTCCTCTAACACTGATATAAATTCATAAAAATCTCAACCTATGCTCTCCAATGTACAGAACATCCCTAGAACAAACGAGTTTTATAACCATTTAGCTAACTTTAGGGCTATCTGGGCCGCCTGAATATGAGCACATTTTAGATTTCCTCCAAATTATAATTACAGGAGACTATGTGATTTTGCCAATTGAAGATCTGGAAAATGATTCCGTAGAAGCCTGATAGGTTTCCAGGTTAGCCAACATTTGCCTGTTTGAAAGCTGGCTGCTAATCTACAGTGGTTGACCAGGTCTGTGATAAAAAACACCAGCAGAATCTACTCTGACTGCAAATGAAACCGGGTATAGCTACACTTCTCAGCACTCTTCATCACACAGTATGGGCTCTTTAATTGTAGCTATGACAGGGAATACTTAAAGAGTTGTAAAATGTGGAGGATGGCATGTGTTCAGAATAAACCGTGCCTAGCTCAGACCGAGGAGAGCATGGCATCTGTGGTCCATGACGGAGACGAAGTTGGGAAAGCGGAGGACATCTTTTGCCAAACTCTGTCTCTCTATGGGGACATGTGTTATAAATTAAAAAGCTCTAGAAATATTGATTTCCATAGTCAATGACAGGAATATCCATTTGCACCAGAATGCTGATAGTCAAAATACAGCATGGTTTACACTCAACAATACAGTTTGTTTTTTTCCCTAAACTCCAATTTGGGAGTGAGTCAGAGCATAATTATTGTATGCTTAACTTTAAAAACGGGATTTTCTTTGGAAATTTTGCTGAGTGGAAATTATGGATATTGTGGGTATTCTTACTCAAAAAGGTCAATGTATTTATGTAAGTATAAGAAAAGGTTTCATTCGGCCTCTTGTGGTTGGTAGCATTGGCTACATAAGTGTTATCTCCAGGAATAAGATCAAGTTCACTTCTTCTGTGAGATCCAAATAACACAAGGTGGAAGTTCCACATTCTAGATTGGCCTTCATTCTGTAAGCACCACATCCTGTTTCCTTTACTTTCTCGAGGAACCAACATAAGGGAACTTCCAAGCAAATGGGTTCTAGCTTCTCCTCCAAAGTTCAAGTTGAGGATACCAGGAAACACCATGACGTGGGGCCCAGAACCATCAAAAGGTTTACAGAAATGATCCTGTCGAAACCAATCTTTCTTCCGCTACAATGTAGTGTCTATTGTGTATGTGCTTCAGAAACTTGCCTGGGGTTTAATCACCCACTCAGCATGAGGATTTACATGATATACATCCAATATGTAAGCATCTGGATCCAAGCAATGCTGCCCTAAAAAAAAGGGAAAAAAATCAGAGAATTTGTTTCACGAGTACACACTGTTCCATTGCTATTGTAAGGTTCAAATATTCCAGTTTTCTCTGCCAAAAGGAAGTTGTTATATTTCAGAGTTTCTTAGCAAATCCCTTACATTTTCTTTCTTTTAAAGTTCGTGAAATATGTCAACTGAATCTCACGGGCAAGTGCTGGCAAAGACTATGGAAAGTACTATGGATGACCCAAAGAACAAACAAATCTATCTTGGAAGAAATATAACTAGAATGCTCCGTAGAAGGGAGATGGTGAGAGTGCATCTCATGTACTTTGGGCATGTGATCAAGAGAGACCAGCCCTTGGAAAATGACATCACACTTGATAAAACAGGCGGGGAGTGGAGAAGGGGAAGATCCTCAATGGGATGGACTGACACAGTTGCTTCCACCAAGGGCTCAAACAGAACAATGGTGAGGTTGGTGCAGAAACAGGCCGCGTTTCAGTGACACAGGGTCCCTAGGAGTTCAAGCGGACTCAGCAACACCTAACAACAACAGCTCCTCGTTTCCTTAAACAGGAAAATATGTCAACTTGGTTTGTGTATAAACTGATTGCTTTGACACTAACAGGTGTGAGCTGATGGTTTTACTTATAGAAATTTGTCCAGGGATAGAGAAGAGTCAATCAGGTTCGTGTTAGGAATGTTTATTTACTTTCTTTACTATGGATATAGTACTCATAGGTAAGAGATCTAGAAAGGATAAAAAAGAAATTATTCCATGTGGCAAATATGGAATTTGATTATCTTTATGTACAATAAGTTTGAAATGCATATTAACATCCCATTCAAGGTTTCCAAGACTTGCTTGCTTGATAGATTTAGCAACTATTTATTGAGAGTTATTTTATACCAGGGACTTGGGAAGCAGACTGTGCCCCCAGGGAGCATACATTCTGAAAGTGGCCAAAAGTAATGGGAAATTAATACAAGTAAGATGGTGATAAGAACATTAGAGAAAACAAATCAGAGAAGGCAAATAGGCAATGTGGATATAGGGTTCAAATTCAAGGACCATGGTCCAGCAAGACTTCATTGAGCAAACGTTATCTAGTGCACTCTGTAAGAGGTAAAGCTTGACAGAACTGCCTACTTCTTCCAGGTTGTGCAAGGTTTCTACCTTTGCAGCACGAAATCTTACAACTTTTCTATCACTAGTGGAAACCGTTTTAGTTTTCATTCTCTGACAGGCTTCTGTCTTCCACAGGTTTCAGTTCTCACAGGCATTACTGTTGGCAAAGACAGAGAGGTGAGAGAGCAAGAGAAGTTAGAATATTTGAGTGGAGCGTAGTCGGGGCAGGGGGTGGTAGGCAGAGAGAAGAGCCAAGGCAAAGGCTTGAAACCCAAAGTGTGCCCCGTGACAGGACTGGAGCTGGTGTTCAGGGGGGTGGGGAAGGAGTCTGGGACATCATCTTGAGCAGCATTCCGAAGGCAGAGAGATTTGAAACCATGAGGTCAGGTGAGCTCACCAAGAAAGTGTAGAGAGGAGAGTTCTGAAGCCGGTGCTGCACAACTCCCCAGTGTTAAGAGATGGATAGGGTGAGGAGTGCCTGACAAAAGGCCACCAGGGAAGTGGAAAGCATGTTTTGAAAGGAAGGAAAAGATCAACTCAGTCACCCAAGGAGCACAATTGAAAAGGAAATACCGGATTTTACAAGCTCGGAGTGTTCTGGGGACCTTGACAAGAGTGTGGTTAAAGTGGCGTGGTGGAGGGGAAGCCGGCCTGAAGCAGATCAAGAGGATACTGGAGGAAGACACAGGAGGACAAAAACTCGGTTTTTTTGCTGTAGAGTGTATCAGAGGAATGCGGTAAGTGTGACGAATGTCATGGCTGAGCTTTGTACGTGAGAGAAACTTATTTGTAATTAAGAATTGTGTAAAGGAAAGAAAGTTTTTATGTCGACAGAACTGACTCCTGTGGAAGGGCCGGTCCTCAAAGGGAGGGAAACTAGTTCTTCTATAATTAGGAGCAGGCAGGCAGAGTCTAGGGGTATGGCTGTCAGTACACTCTTTCTTACTTTTCGACCAGGGTCAGTTCCCAAAAGCAGGTTGTTATCCAAAAACTGGTGTTATATGAAAGTGGAGGACAGCCACGTCAGATCACACAATGGAGGATGATTACATATTGCATGATTGACAAATTACATCATTGTATAACTGTCAAACAGCCAAGAAACATGACCTAGTCGAGCTGACACACCATCAGTGTTACTCTCATCTAGCACCCTAGCATTCATTACTGCTAAGCAGTATGCTGTTGATAGGCATTATTATTGTCAATGCCATACACTGGGCAATGAGCTCCATCCGTCCAGAGGGAGACTGTGGACATCTTTGGAGTCCATCCCCTTGCCTCCCCGCACCATCCCACACACAGGGAAATAGGAAGATTGATCTGTAACTTTGAAAAAAAGCAATAGAGAATTAGAAGTCACATTTATTAAAGAATGCTTACCTATATTTCCTCCAATTTCATATAACCTTTGGTTTTGGATCTTAATGCACTCAGATGAACCATGACTACAAGAAAGCAAATGAAGCCTTTATGATCGGTGGTAAATCTGTGGATTCAATATTAAAGCAACAACAACAACAAATCATTCTGCTGGGACTTAAGTCAACCCCACAAATCTTTACCATCATGGGCAGTTGTGGTCATTTTTGTCCACCTGTTTGAACAGGACATAAGCTCAGGCTCCAAGAGGACTGCGCTATTCCACAGCCAAGGTGGCGCACCGCGGTCTCCCCAGAGACTCAGAGTCCACTCCAGGCACCGCCATCAGCTCTGGTTTTGAGGAATAATTGTTGCTGACACAACAGTGCTGGCCTGGGGGCAGCTGGATGTTTAACAGTGTGTTGTCATTGGTCCCCGTGCTCTCAGTTGAAAAGCAGTCTGGTTTCATTTCTGTATTTCCAAACCCTTGAGTAGAAGCCCTTCTATAGCCATCACATTCCTAACCTTGCCTAATGCTTTGCAAATGTTGAAGGGTGACTTCACTGATTGTCTTGCCCTATAATAAGAACAAGTCAGAGAAAATAACTGTCTAATGTAATGCCCCCGCGTCCCCACCCCTAGGTTAGAATGCAGAGGTAGGAGATTCTGAAAGACCAATGCTGACCTCCACCCTGGTTCAGGAATAACTTGGTTGATATTTCACATAGATTGTCCTCCTGTAAAGTAGCCTGGTGGCACTGTCCAGTAGGCTATAGACAACCTTCCACCAGGTCCTTCCACGGAGAAAGATACCAGCAGCCACGCTGTGGGAGAAAGACAGGCTGCCCGCTCCCACAAAGAGGTACAGCCTTGGCAACCAAATATAGGGTTGTTATGAGTGGGAATTGGCTCTGTAGCAGTGGGTAGTGCCCCCACCTTTTAAAATTACATCTTTATATTTTGAGATAATTGTAGTTAAAACAGATTGCTCAGAAAGATACTGTCTACTTTAACTCTATTTCTCCAATAGCACTACCTTGCAGCTCTGGTGCATTATCAAACAAAGATGCTGGCTTTGATTTTGTCAAGATGCAGAACATCTTCTTCATGTTTCTCTTTTACAGCCACGTCCACCTCCCTTTTGCTACCCATTTCTACCACCATTCCACATTTATCATCTTAAGGATGCTATCTAAATAGAAATACCCAACATGAAATCTTAATGCATTGCTTGCTTTTTATCCACACAGTATACTTCCTTTGAGATTCATCTGAGTTGCTGCATGTATTACGAGTTCTTCCCCAAGTACTATTCCCACCCAAACCAGCTCATAGCATCCCTATCCGACAGGGTAGAAGCCCCTCTGTGGGTTTCCGATATTGTAACTCTTTGTAGAGTAGAAAGCCTCGTCTTTCTCCCTTGGAGTAGCTCTTGGTTTCAAACTGCTGACCTTACAGTTAGCAGCCCCGTGTGTAACCACTAGGCCACCAGTAGTTCAGGATATGGATACACTGCAGTAGAGCCACTCACCTGTTTAAGGAGATCTGGGTTTTGACCGGATCTAAAGTTGCACTAAGCAGTTATAATTAAGGTGTTCGTGTGAACATAATCTTCAGTTCTTTCCGATAAATGCCCAGGAGTGTGATTGCTGAGTAACATGATAGTTCATGTTTGGTTTTATAGGGAACTGATGAATTTTGCATTCCCATCACCAACGTATGGGTGATTTAATTTATATTCATCTTTGCCAGCATTTAATGATGTCACTAATTTTTATTCAGCGTAGTGGTACCTCATTGTGGTTTTATGGCACATTCCCCTACTTGTTAATAATGTGGAATATCTTTTCATATGCTTGTGTTTTTGTGTGTAGACAACTTTGGTAAAATGCCTTTATAACTATTGCTTTCTTAGTTCTTTGCCCCTAATAATTGGAGATCCCTGTCCCTTGTCAAATCTGTAAATGTGTTCTCTCCATCTGTACCTACTCCTTTCATTCTCTTTCCTGGGGCGTTCACAGGGAATTTGTTTCCATTTTGACAAGGCCTAATTTCTTGGTTTTTAACTCTTGTTGCTCATGCTTTTGATATCATATTCAGGGATCCGTTGCCTAAAGGAAAGCACTAAACATAACCACCCGCTCCGCCTTTTTAAAGGGTTTTATGATTTTTGCTCTTGGTTATGGGTTGGGCTGGGAACTGTAGTCAGCAGCTGGAAATCACCAATCACTCTATGGGAGAAAGACGGGGCTTTGGACTCCCATGAGGCGTGTGGCAATTACATAATTTCATGTCAACTTGATAAATAAGGGGTGGAGTCTTGTCTGTCAATCAGGCCACAGCCTGACAATGCTTCCGTGTGGCTGTGGCCTTCTCATGAGGATTCTGGGAACGTCCTCTTTTTCTCCTGGGAGTCGGGACCCACTCTCTCTCTCTGCTTCACATTTCTGTTGACTAGCCACATGGGAGCCAGGCTGATGGCAGCCAGAGCCCTGGGGATGCATCCACTGCCATTGGACCCACAGGACTTTCCACCCACTGGCCTGTGATTTCCTGCACTCGGCATCATTCCATGTGCTGCGTAAGTCTGAAGAGGAATTCATGGGCTAATATAGAATTTATAGATTTGATCTGGACAGGGCTAGGACGTTTTATCAATACATAATTACTTCTTGATATAAAGTTCTCTCTTACACACATATATGAATGTCTCTGAATTTGTTTCTGTAGTCAACCTGGTCTAACACAAAGAGTTACAGTTTTGGACACTCACAAGGATAGGCCTACTCGGTCCTGTAGGCTTGCTCTGAGTTGGCATTAACTCAATGGCAATGAGTTCAGTTTTATTTAGGTCACTGATCCACTTTAAATTAATGTTTGTTTAAGGGGTAAAGTACTTCATTCTTTGCATGTGAAGAATCAGTTGTCCTGGCAATATGCATTGAACAAATTACTCTTCCTGCAGTAAATAAATTTGGTGTTATTAAAAATCATTTGGTGTTATGGGTTCATTTCTGGATTCTTAATTATAACCCACCAGTCTCTATGTCTCCCTTGATACTGGTACCTCACTGTCTTGTAAGACATTTTGAAAGTGGGAAATGTGGTCCTACTTCCTGTATTCCCCTTTCCCAAGATTGCCTGGCTATTTGGAACCCTTTTCAATCCCATATGAATTTGAAGGTAATCTTTCCATTTCTGCAAAAACAAAGCTGGTGAAATTTTCAAAGAAATTACATTGTTTGAAATTTCTACCATAGATGACTTCATTATCTTAAGTCTTCTATTGCATAAACGCAAATGTTATCCCACTTATTTGAATATACTTTAATCTCTATTAGAATTTTATAGTGCACAATGGAAAAATCTTTAACCTACTTGTTAAAGTAGATAAATTCCCAGGTATTTTATTCTTTTAGAAATTGGTGTAAGTGGGATGGTGTTCCTAATTTCATTTCCAGATAGCTTGTTGCTGGTCTATAGAAATATGACTGGTAGTTCTGACAGCTGGTCTTGTGTCCTCCAACATAGCTAAATCCATTTATTAGCTCTAGTAGCTTTCTTGAGGATTCTTTGGGAATTTCTCTATAGAGTATTATTTCATCTGCATATAATTTTACTTCTTTCCCAATGCCTTTTATTTCTTTTTCTTTGCTCTGATTAGGGGTTGCAGTGCAATCTGAAAATATCAGTGGTGAAAGTAAATATTCTTGTCTTGTTCCTGACCTTAGGAGGAAAGCTGTCAGCTTTTTACCATTGATTAGGAAGTTTGCTGTGGGGTTTTCATCAGTGCCCTTTGTCATGCTAAGGAATTCCCCTTCTATCCTCATTTGCTGAGTATTCTTTACCTTTGTTTGAAAGGGCATTGGATTTTGTTGAGAGCAGTTTTCTGAGATGAAAATGTGTTCCTCCTCCAGTCTATCATATTGATTTACTTTATTAATTTGATTTTCTTCTGTGATAAACATTTTGTGTTAATTTTTGTATATGGTGTGTGGTTTACCTTTAGTGTCCGTTTTCTTTTGCCTATGATGTTCAATTGCTATAGCACCATTTGTTGAAAAGGTGCTTTATTCCATTCAATTGCTTTTGTATTTTTGTCACACACACACACACACACACAAAAAGAAATGAAAAATTGCTGGTGCTCTACTGGGCAAAGATTGCTGCCTAAAAACCATACTGTCACATGGGGTCACTGCATCACAATCAATACGACAGCTCCTGACCATAAGGATGACAAGGTACAGTGTCATCTTATCACTTCAATACCAGGGTGCATACAATCAATGTGCCTTGGTCTTAACTTGGATAACCTGGCTGACTTTGTGTTTATCAGATTTTGTAACTGCAAACTCAGGTTCCTCGCCCCTTTTGTTTCCATCCTGTAATCTCTGAAAGGAAGTCATTGCACACAGCCCGGTTTTAAGATCGGGGCTGTTGTCCCTTTTCATAGGTCTATTGTGTTTACTCTATTTCTTCTGGATGTTCCAAGCCTTCTTCTGTTATCATTTCCACATGTTTACAGAGTTTCCTAGAATCATTGCTTATAAGTATATTTGCTAGCAAGAACTTGTCTTACTTTCCTATCATTTAAGAATGTCTTTATTTCCCTAGCATTCACGTAGAATATGTTTGCAGGTCATAGATTTTGCAGTTGATAACTTTCAATATTAAAATAAAAAAAGTTATTCCACTTCTTTCTGCCCTCTGTGGTTTCAGGTGAGAAAGTCCAGTGTCAGGTGAATTAGTTTGTTTTGGAGGAGGAGGTTTGCTCACTTTCTCTGTAGGGACCTTGAACTTGACCTTTATTTTCCGAAGTTTAAAAGTCTTTTATTTCTTTATATTTTTTTCTTGTATTCCTCTATACATTTGTAAAATGACATTATTTACTCCTATTCATTTTTGAGACAATTTTGTCACTTACAACTTGATGTCTCTGGTACTGGCTTCCAGTCTTTTTGCTTTGCTTTTGAGAGTTTTATCTGCACTGGTTTTGCTCGGATGCTGTACTGTGTCTTCCTCATAAGTTGCTGTTTGATGCTGTTGGCTCTCTCTCTGAACCAAACCGAACCAAACCAAACCAAACCAACCCAAACCAACCCAACCCAACCCAACCCACACAAATCCACTGTCACCAAGTCAATTCTGATTCCTAGAAATCCTGTATAGGGTTTCCAAGACTGTCCATCTACTCATTGGGAGCTCTTACAGATATTGTAACAATCCATAATTCAATTAGATCAAGCACACTTGTACAACTGCTGCCACCATCAGTTTCAAAATATTTTTTTTCTTCTTGAACTCTTTGATATCAGCTCCCCTTTATCACCTCCCTCCCCTCCCCTACCCCAAGGAACCCTTATTAAATCATATATTATTAGTATTCTTGCCATATCTCACACCATCCAATGCATCCATTCACCTACAGTTCTGTTAATGGTGTCCCTCAAGTGGGGCTATACAGTCACCATTTCTATCAGTTTAGTAAGCAGACATCATCTCTCTTTGATGGAATGTTTGGTGGGTTTGAACCATCAACCTTGTGGTTAGCAGTAGAATGCCTAATCCACAGCACCACCTCTTTTACTATTTCTTGTAAGGCTGATTTGATTTTTATAAATTTCCTTACTTTCTGTTTATTTAAAAATGTCACAATTTCACCATCATATATAGAGACAATTTTGCGAGCCATACAATTCTTTGTTAGCAATTTTTTGCTGTCCTTGTTTTACATGGTATCCCGTTGCCCTTTTGCCCACATAATTTCTCCTGAGTAATCAGAGTTAGTCTTACTGGTTTGGTTTCCTCTTTTGGGTAACTTGTCCTTTTTTGTGAGCTACTCTTGAGTTCTTTACCATTTTGTTGAGTTTAATTATAACAAGCTTTTTAAAAATTATAAATCATTTTATTGGCGGCTCTTACAGCTCTTCTAAGAATCTATACATCAATTGTATCAAGCACATTCGTACAAATTTTGCCATCATTTAAAAAATATTTTCTTTCTACTTCAGCCCTTGGTATCAGCTCCTCTTTTTTCTGTCCCTCCCCCACCCTCCCAGTCTCATAATCCCTTGATAACTTATAAATTATTAGTATTTTTATATCTTACACCATCTGCTTTCTCCCTTCACCCATGTTTCTGTTGTTTGTCCTCCTGGGAGGGAGGGGAGGGGAGGGAGTATATGTCAATCACTGTGATCGGTCCCCCCTTTCTCCCCTCACCATCCCCTTCCTCTCATGGTATCCCTACTCCTATTATTATTCCTGAGGGGTTTATCTGTCTTGGATTCTGAGTGTCAAGAGTTCTTATCTGTACCAATGTACATGTTCTGGTCCAGCAAGATTTGTAAGGTAGAATTGGGGTCATGAAAGTGTGTGTGAGGTGGGGGAGAGCATTAAAGAACTAGAGGAATGCTGTGTTTCATCGGTGCTGTCCTACACTCTGGCTGGTTTGTTCCTATAACAAGTCTTGGTGTCTTTCTTTTGGCATCTACTCTGTTTGGGGTTCATCGAGTATTTGCTAGGTAGCATCTATCTTTCATGATATTAGAGAAGTTATCTGCCAGCAAAGTTTTTAATAATTCTGCGTTTGCCTTTTCTTGTTCTGAGATTGTGATAATGTGTACATTTTGCCTCTTGATACTGTTCCAAATAATTATTAGGCTTTCTTAATCTTAATCCTATTTTAGGATTTTCCCTCAAATAGATGATTTTTGTCAAGTTATTTGTGTTCTTTTTCTTGATCTAGTCTTCCACTGATTCAATTTTGCTTCTTTGACCTACTGAGTTGCCTGTTTTGGAAATCGTACAGTTATTTGTTTGCATTTTTTAATTGCTACTTTTGTATGGGATCTAACTATGTATTTATTTTGTAATTTTGTTCCTGTATTGCTTCCTTAAATTTTTCTATTGTCTTGTTTGTGTTTTCCTTAGTTTTGCCCATGTTTCTCTCAACCTCTTATATATTAGATTTTCAAATTCATTATTAGGTAGCTTCATTACAAAGTCTTCCTCCAGTAGGTTTTCTGGTTCTTTTTCACCCTCATTTGCTGGCGCCATCTCATTCTGCTTCTTTAGATGATTAGTTATTCTCCATTGTTTCCAGACATTGAGGTATTCCTATACTTATTTAATGTATGCTTGCTACATACAGAACTTTGTTTTGTTCTGCATCGATACATCCATGGAGGTGGGATGTGCACGCTACTCTGCTCACGGGTCTGGCCACACTGAAGCCTTTCTCATCCCTCTCTGGGTGAGTGGGACAAAAGGTGGTGTGTGAGCATGCATCTCAGCTTGCTGGACTTGTAGGGCAGCTGAAGATGGAGTCGATATGACTGGTGAGGTGATATGTCTATTGATCCAGTCACGTGGGGGTGGGAACAGTGAACGTTTCCACTGGTTACTGGATTGCGTGTTGTGTGTGTGTGCACTGCTGGTTGCTGAGTGGTCAGGGGAAGGTGCCAGGGTCACGAGTTGCCAGATGGATGGTATAGAAGCTCTCATTCATAGTCCCTCGCCGGACTGTGTGTCGTGGTTGGAATGGGCACGTCTCTGGTTGCAGGTTGCAAAGGGAGCGGTACGGAAGTTGAGACAGAGGACTGCTGTGTTTCCACAGGAGTGCGAGGCGGGAGATGGCGTGCTGCTGTCCTTGAGTCATCACACTGGTGGCTGAGGGAGAGGGAAGCACTGCTAGCCTGTAAGCCCCCAGTGTGGGTGGCTCAGTATAGGAGTAGGCACCTCTGCGCTACTGGACTATCAGCCCCAAGTGCAGGTGGCTGGGCAGAAGCAGCCAGGCCTCAGGCCTCAGGCCCCCGGGAAGCACAGTGGTCAGGTGGAGGAGGAGATGATGGTATCTGGGGGTCCCCAGGATGGGTGGATGGGTGCAGGAGCAGGTGCTGCCAGATCAAGGCCCCTGACTCAGTTGGTGGCGCAGAAGGAAGGATGGGTACCTACTCATCTCTCTAACACGGACCTGGTACACACCCAACCTCTCGACCCCTGCCCCAGGGCAGGCAAGTACTAATTTATCCTCTAGTTTTCATACTTTATCATTAAAAAAGAAGTGTTATCTCAAAGGAGTTGTGCAGTTGGTAAGCTTTAGCAATGGAGGTTCTGTTGTTCAACATGGTTACTCCTAATGTACTGGAATGCTTCTCTGTAAGGCTATTAAGAAAGGGTTTTACTGTAGTCAGTGAAATCACACCTGCTCTCCAAGAGATTTAAAGTAGTTCTTCTTGTTGATTAAAAACCTCGTGGCAGATGTGTTTCTTATTTTAAATAAGCTTACCTCAATAAAAATGATTAGGATTTATAGTCTTCTAATGTGATATATCACAGAACTGTAAAGATAATTTTCTTAAATAGCATTCTGATCCCAAGGATCATTTTAAGAAATTTTAACCTCTATGTTCGCTTTACCACTAAAATCTATCAGATATAGGGGTGTTAAAGCCCAATAGTGTGGAATAATGATATTCCTAAAAATCTTTCACAGTATTTACTCAGCTGGCATGCTCCATTTGTCATTCTAAAAAAAAAAAAGGTAAAACTCATTGGATCAAAGAAGCCACCCAACAAAAGATACCTGATGAGAATTCCACTTCAAGAAATTGCTTTAAAAATCTGTGCTATAGATCATTTTATTGTCTACTCTAACCTTTCCCCACTTCTGACACTTATTCTAATGACTTAATCCCCAAAGTAAGAGATTTTAAATTTTTTAAAAGAACAACATTTGGAAGTATCTGAAAGTTCTATTTCTCTGGTAAAGATTAACTTTCTTATGCAAACACCTTCATTGGCTTTTACTCACCTGTTCTCATATTGGAATTTTGCCAATATGTCTTTGGCTTTGGTCTGACTCTTGAGTTGAATAGCCATGGAAACCTTCGAGAGCAGCGGAGCATGGACCCGGATCACTCCCTCGGGCACATCAGACTGCCGGTGAGAAACAAGCTGGGGATCAGGGCAATGGTTGCGTTTATGGATGAATTAGAAAGCAGCGATTCTGAAATATCCTCTCTGTAGTTAGCAGCAAGCAGTGGCCAGACCACAGTGTGTGTGTGTGTGTGTGTGTGTGTGTGTGGCGGGGCAGGTGATAAAAATGATCTAAGATGAAACAGAAGTGATCGTTATAGAACATAATATCTTTTGCTTTGGTGGCTACCTTGGCTCAATTAGTTGTTGCTGTTTTTAGACTGGAGAAGTATGAATCCTTAACCTGGTCCTGCAGAGTGCTTCTGATGCCCTGTGCCACGGAGCAGAGCCCGGGCACAGTCTCGAGAGGCCCGGCCTCATCGCGCGAGTCCCCATGAAACGAGCAAAGAGCAATCCGCTTGCCATCAAGTCGGCCGTGACCCTTGGTGGCTGGACCAGTCTCAGAGTGCAACTGTGATCCAAAGGGTTTGCATGGCTGATTCGTTTGGGGGGAAGTAGATTACCAGGTTGTTCTTCCAATAGGTGGACTTGGACTGCCAACTTTTGGTATGCACCCAAGGATACAAACAATTTACACTACCTGGGGAGACTGCTAATCAAAGAATAACCCAGAGCCACACCAAATCCACTGCCACCAAGTCGACTCTGACAAACAGCCACCTTCTACGGGGTTTCCGAGACTGTGTACGGTATCTTTATGGGGACACGGCCTCATGTGTCTCCCCGGAAGTGCTTTAGAAATGTTAGTTAACCTTGCAGCCTAATGCTTAACCCACAGCCCCCCAGAGCTCCTTATTCAAGGAACAGTGTCATCTAATTAATCGGAAAATTTTCTTTGTCAGGACAAACTGGAAAATCCACGTTCCATAAATGGAATGATTCTACAATTAGTTTGTTCTGTAAACTGGGAAGAAATAATTTTACTCATTTGAGGATCGGCCTCGTCCTGAGATACATGTTTTAAATCTGTACACTCTAAAGAAGGATGGCAGTGTCCACATAGAAGAGTGATGAGCTGACTCATTGAACACTCTCGTAAACATTTTGTAAAATGGAACCAAACTTACAGGGCCTGATTGACATTACTAGCAAGAATCAAAGAGGGATGAGAATTTTGGACATGGGATGGGGATAAAGTGAACCTGGCAATTTGAAGCCAAAAGTGCACTACTGAAATAGTCTTCTGATCGTCTTACATAGCTCCCCATCCAGGTCTTCAGCAGCCTCTGCAAGATAAATCCCAGACTCCTGACCTATGATTTTAATGACCAAAATTACTCCCATAACTTCTACACCATTCACTTATGTACAAACTGCCTAACCACATCATTCTAAATGGTTAGTTAGTAGAATTCTTTCTTTGTTGATTAATAAATGTCAAGTTTGATGAAAACTGTACATGTAAATTTGAAGTAAGCAAGGAATATCACATAGGTAGTTAATAGGGAGAAAAGGAAATTGTTTTCTTACCACTCTTCTTGAAGAAGGTGATTTCTGTAGCATTTTTGAAGTCTTAGGGCTTGTGACCTAAAGAAAAGCACTCATTTAAAAAAGCTAGCCTTAAGTCAACAACAACAACAACAAAAAGAAACAAAAGAAGAAAAACAGAAATCAAGGTAGAACGTGGATTCATATTTGCTTGTATATGCATAGGCTAGCTCAGAAAGTCTACTCACCTACGTGTGCCTGTGCAAACACACCTCATCATTAATGATATAATTTATCTCCAAATGGCAAGTCAAAGCCGGCCAGCTATGAGTTTACAGTCCTTTGCGCCTTTTGAGTTTTGTAGCCTGTTAAGGAACTGGCTATTTCTATTAAAATTAAGAATTTTCAAAAACATCATAAGGACTTGAATAGGCATTTCTCAAAGAGGATGTACAAATGGCCAATAAGTACATGAAAAGATGCCCAATGTCTCACTTATTAACATGACTGCACACGCATTAGGAGTGACTGCTCCTAGAAGACCCAACACCAGTGTCTCTGTGCCTGTGGAGCACCTGGAACGCTCACCCCGTGTTGGCACGAAAAAGGGTTCACACGCTTTGACAAACCACTGCCAATCCTTGAAAGCTAAACATAGACAGCATATGATTTACTAATTCTGATCCTAGGTTTGCATGCCCAGAATAATTGAAAATAGGGACACTCAGACTCATTCACTGAAGCATTATTCACAATGTCCAAAAGTGGGAACCACCCAAGTGTCCAATAACAGATGCATGCATAAACAAAATGTGGTATATGAATACAATGGACCGTTATTTGGTCATAAAGAATACTGAAGTTCTGAGATATACTATGAACTTTAAAATGATGAGACTTTAAAACACTATCCTAAGTGAAATTGGTCAGAAGCAAAGGGATTAATTATGTTCTATCATTCGGTTAATATGACTAATAGTTGGTAGGAGCTGGGAAGCGGGGAGAATGAGAAGCAAGCACTTAATGGGTTTCGGGGTTTCTTTTCTGGGGTAGTGAAAATGTTTTGTGATTAGACAGCGGTAATTAATATGCAACATTGTGCATTTTAAAAATCCATGGAACTGTGTACTTTAACATGGATTTAAAAGTGAGTTTTATGTCTTGTGGTTTTTATTTAAATAAATATATTTTTAAATTTACAAATAAACGTGTTAGTTCTACTATATTTGAAGTGACTCTGCCAATAATTAGTAGGGAATACTGTTGTTCATCCTAATTGTGATACATCAACTAGTAACACTTCCCACTTCAAATGCCTTGTCATTTACTCTTCTGTCTTCCTGAATGAACAAGAATTTCTCTTCTTTTCTCTCTTCAAAATACTATCCACCGTTCATGCTGTAATGCAAATGCTACTTTCTCCACGACGTTTCCCCCAGTTGGCCCTCCTGCAGCACATCTCCCTCTCTCCCAGCACAGGTTGGCTCTCTACTGCTCCCGCACTGACTGTGGTTGCTGAGCGTGTGCGTGCTCGTTGCATATATTTCCTCCCACACTTGGTATCAGTTCTGTTAAGTCTAAAGCAAATTTCATGTATCTCTGTGTCAAGGTCTAATGCAATGCCCGACTCTCATAATCATTCTTCAAATTAAATTAAAGCAATAAAGATACTTTTTGAGACTCTGTTTCTCCAAAACAATGATGCTAAAGCAAAATGTCTTTGGAATTCAGTGAACTTACACGAAATAGCCCACTGGATGGTGAGATGTTCGTTTATTAACCGATTACTCTTGAAATCTCTTTCCCTACTTATTAGATACACTGGAGACTACATTCTTTCTAAATGTAGTTGACTGGGACTGCAATGTCAACTTTAGCTTTTGTCAGAGCCAATTCCTTAACAGAAAACTAAATCATGTTTACCAGATCGATATTTCAAGAACTTGAACCCCAAATTCCACATAAGCAAAATGCATAGGCAGCTGTACAATGTTGGGGGCACAATCTACAGTTTCTGTATACATCACACTAATACTTGATGAGAACATGAAATTTGTTCCAAAACTACACGCTATTTTTTTCCTGAGAGAAGGAAACACTTGGGTTCTACACACAGTTTGTACACTTATTTACTTGCACTACCTCTCGTTCTATGGTCTTCCTCCTTAGCAGCTTTTTCACACCCGGGAGTTGCTTCTTTAACAGCATGGTGGCTTCATTCATTCTGCGTACTTGAGTGATTAAGAAAGAGGGAACCTGAAGAAGAAATATAACTGAACTTAGAGTTGCCTAATATCCCAGTCACTCAATGTCCCGAAGTGGTCATGTGGAGCTTTATTAAGATTAGAAGAACAGACAAACAACCAAACAAGAGGTTCTTTTTAAAAGCAAGACGTGCTAACCAGCATAAAGAACCTATGAAGGAGCGCCCTGCGATGATTCCCCCTGACCGAGGGCGTGCTGGGTCACAGGCTGACCTCTCCTAGCTGTGGGGGCTTGTCAGACGGTGACCAGTCATTGTACTGCTACTCACCTTCCACAAAATTTTCTGGTACTTAAGCATTAGGCGAATGATGTGGGCAGCGGTGTTTGCTAACAGTAATTCTTCATAATCAGAGTGTTTGCTTCTACTGAAGAAAAGGTTCGGTGCCATAATAGTAGAAATATTCCACATACTCATTCGGTTTTTGGATTCATTGGCAATTACTTTATTGAAGAATGTCATGAGGGCCTATCAAGAAAGAGCATTGTGTCACATTCTTAGAAATTATCGCGATGCACCACTGGGTACAAGTGTCCATTTCAATACCCATCATCCTCTGTGACTCTGGAAAACGGTCAGAAGTAGTGAGGTGTTCAGTGGGTTTGGTTCTCCTCTAATGGCCTAAAGCGCTCATAAGAAGCAGGATGCTCACTCTGAGTCACTGGTCCAGTTGCTTGCTTTAGGAAGGGGCTCCAGTTTTATGGAGGGTGGCATACTGGCATCACTATAAGTAACAGCCTGATTTTTCCTATTTATCCTGAAAGAATTTACCCAAAATCATTATTTAACAGAAAGCCAGGAAGATAAAACACTGCAGCCCAAATAAACATAAACTGCTTTAATGGGAAAAGTTTGATTTTTAAAAGCCCCTATTATTTAAAGCATTTTACTGAAAAAGCATCCCCCCTCTCCTTGGGGAAGAAACATTCTCTCTCCTTGGGACAGAAAACCCTCTCTCCCTGGGAAGGGAAAAAAGAAACAAGAGGAGTATCTCATTTCTGCGTCAAACAGGAAAATTTTAGCTTTATACTTTTGGGGTGTCATTTTGGTTTTGATGTTCCATTTTAGAATCTTCAGCTGATCAAACAGAAATATGAACATATGTTCAGCATTAGAAAGGGCTAAAATGAGGTTTAAAAAACAGTTTGATGAAACCAAATGCTTATCAGAAGCTCTGAAAATTCATCAACAGGATGAAATTCCAAAAGTGGATGCATTCCAACTTGAGACTCTACTACATTACATGTGGTGGGAAAACGTCTCGTACATCTAGCCGTATGTTGATGTTAGCTGCTGCCGTCCAGGCAGCCCCGACACATGCCCCCCTCTCCTCCCATGCACATTCCAACAGAAGGCTGCCTGGTGCTGAGCCAGCCTGGTGATTGGTTAAGAGTCAGATTATTGTGGTCCCTTGGGTTCTCATTGGCTGATATTTGGAAGTAGATCATTCGGCCTTTTTTCCTAGCTCATCTTACTTCGTCAGAAACCTGTTGGGCATTAAAACATCACCAGGGTGACTATTAACAGATGGATGGCAGCTGCACACAAGAGTGTTCGCTAGGAATAAAAACCCCGCCTCCTTCATGCAACATGAGAATTCTTTCACTGAAGCACCATTGCTCTTTAATGACAATAGCAGTGAACACTGAGGCTTTCTTACGAAGCAGGGATTATTACAGACCTTTATATGTATTGGCTTACTTTACTCTCATTCCAAATTCTGTAAGAAAGGGGCTACTGTAAACTTATTTTACATATGAGGAAAATGGGACATGGAAGGGATGAGTAGGCTTGCTTACGATCGACCAAAAATTCGAGTAGCAGAGTCAGGATTCGAGTCCTAGAAACCGAGTCCTAGAAACCGCATTCTGACCCAGAGCTCTAGGTCTCCGGCTACCCTGTTAGTGGTCCAAGTTTCAGACACCATTTAGAACGGCAGGGAGGGGCAGGGAGTGTGTGCGCATACCATCAGCCCCCACTGTCTCTTGAGAGTCTTTTTGGAAATGAGTTCTTTGACAATCACTACATCTCCAATTACGTGAAAGGGAAGAGGATATGTTGACCCTGGTATCTGATCATCAGAAACATTCTTTGTCTATATTTTGATGAAAGGAAGTTATTTAGACAAAGCCCAAACACAAACTAATAGATTTTTAGGGTTTCAAAAAACTACCAAATATTAGAAGCAGACAGTCTTAGGCCGTAGCTAACCCTCATCCTTCAGTTTGGACCAGGAGTTCAGAGCTCTGGGTGACAAAAGGAACGTAGTACGTACGACTGGCGGGTAGGGAGAGCGACAAAGCAGAAAGAAATGCAAGAAATGATCAGGGATGTGTGTGGCATGCTGATGATAATTAAAAATGGTAATGAAATTTGACATAGATTGTTCACTATGTAAGTAAAAAGGGTTCTTAGCACATTGATACGAGATCCCTAAAAACAACCTTATTTTCAGCCTTGTCTTTACTGACCCCCAAATGATCGGCTCTTTATCTGAAGGAAGCCTCTAGAACAGGAAGCTGTGAAAGAATGAACTTACTAGTGGTAGCAGGGTTGGAGGAGAAGGGGACAGGGGACTTCACTGCTCAGAGGACACTGAGCTTTCATGAAAGATTATGGGAAAATGGAAATGGATAGTGGTGGTAGTGGTCGAACATAAACGCCACTAAATTGTACATGTAATAAATTCTGAAATGGCAAATGTTTTGTTGCATGAAGATTTACCATAAAATTTAATAAATTTTGAACATATGGGTTCCTTCCAACTCATTCCAATCTAAAATTAATTTGAAAAATTTCAAATATCCATTGTATGTATACCAAATTTCCTACCATCTAGTTATCAGAATAGCAAGAAGAAATTTGTTTTTTACTGATAAAAAGCAAGCATTCATTTGTAAAAAGAAGGAGGATAACTGTGATAGAGAACTACGGAACGTGATTTGACCCAGTGTTCTATTACGAGGTCATGGAAGAAGGCTTGGGATGAAGAACTATAGAATGTGTTTCTAGCCAATGCTTTATGATCTGCTAGCGGAGGAATCACTTTTCTGAGTCCAATTTTCCTAATCTGCAAAATGACAAGATCCTATCTGATTATCTTTAAATCCTGAGATGATAAATTCCTGAGATCAAATGATCACAAACTATAAAACACAACTATTTGAGGCATTTCTTTCAAATCGGTGATTTTAAGTTTTCTTCCGAAAGGCAGGAGGAGAAAGATGGGGCTTTCTACTAAGGTGGCCAGATTTTAACACTGGTAAAGCGGACACCATTGATAAAACTCATACCCTGGTGAAATAAAACCGTAGCTGAAAACCGTATACCCTAGCTTGTGCATTCTTTCAAAAAATCGGGACTTTTTTAAAACACCGCGGGACGCGGGACAAATTGGTAAAAATCGAGACTGTCCCGCCAAAAGCGGGACGTTTGGTCACCTTATTCTACTCTCATGAAGAGTGACAGCCTCCGCCACCTACGGGGCAGTTGTGCCCTGTCCTGTAGGTTCACTGTGAGTCAGCATCGGCTTGATGGCAGCGAGTGAAATAAGGGGAGGAAGGGACGACTGGTCTGCATAATGGTCTCATTTACTTCCGCCATTATGTCACTTTTTCATCTTTATTTCTCCTCCCCTCCTAACCCCTAGCTCAGTGACTGGCCCATGAGAGCTACAGGGTCTATCCTGATCGGCTGAATGAATAAATAGTGCAAGTCCAGAAGAGGCTACGATCTATATGCCCTCGTCTTTCTCAGCAGCGTGGTGGGAACAGTTAAAGGCAGCAGGTCTGGATGCTCAAGTAACTTGTCATCTCAGCCTTCTTTTGCTTCTGACAACGGCAAAGCTGGTGACAGACCACGCATACCTGGGCTGTGTCTCTGTTGGCATCAGGCAGCGCCATGATCATGAGGTGTACCGCCTGGAACTGTACTCTGATGTGCGGCCCTCCTGAAAAGCAAACAGAGAAATCGTCGCTCGTCTTAACCCGGTGATGTAGCCTGACCGCATTTCTTGGTACCAGCTGGTAGCACAGGAAGACCAGCGGCAGCTCTCAGCGTGAAGACGGGTAGACCATGTCACGTTGGATGGACACACCAGTCCCACACTCCATGGTGCCACACGAAGGGAAAGGGGCCAGAAAGAGCCACAAAATAATCATGGACTCAGGAAGCATTTTCCTTTTCAATATATTTTCATACATCATGTCTAATCTTTATACTATCAGCAAAAGCCTTGAAAGTCATTTTAAGAAAAATAAATCTCCCACCCACATAATGACACATAGTATATAGACTCTAGAACCAGGTTAAAATCTTTTTATGACTTAAGAGTTGCTTATATTTATCATCTAATGATAGGTAGACACAGAGCTGTTATGAGAATTCACAGAATTCACATTATATTCAGGTCCATACAGTCCTATAAAGAACACCATATAAGGATTAGCTGTTCCTATGATTATCTTAGTGATAGATACTACATGGCCGATTAGGAAAGGCAACTAGTTGAAACTGGAGTTGCTTGAGCACTTTATTCCTTAACAATGTCACAAGGGGGCACCAGAGTGCTGGCATTTGCACTTCAATTCTCAACCCTGCTTTCTCTCCCAGAAACCTTAGGGGTGCCAACTACAATTGGGCAATCCACAAGCAGCTGTGTGGATATTTTAGAATCCAGGCTTCTCTTGGTATATTCTTTAAACATGTATCTCGGTGGAGCATCCTAGAGAGGAGAATTATGTTCTAGAATCCCTGGGGAGTTCTCAAGTTGAAAGAAAACCTATTTCCACTCAGCATCTGAGCTGCCTCCACAGTTATTTTGTTTTATAGCAATGGAAACTGTCTTGTGACAAGCTTACAAGTTATAGAGTTATATGAACCAGAATAAAGAGGTGACCTATGCATATAACCATATAAACTAGGAACAGTGGGGCGAGTATTTATAGATCTACATAATAGTGTCTGAATGCATGCAGATTTTTAGACACATATAATTTGTAAACCAAGAATGACCCAGGTCCCATGTGTTATTGAAAATGACTGATGCATATTTGTATGAGTTTGCTTGAATATAGAAACTATTTTTAAAAAATGGAAAAAGAAACTTTCAAGATTTCATCTCAGAACAAAGTATTTATGAACAAATAAAACATTTTTTTGCATGCAGAAACCGCCAGTGGATGCCTGCCTATCATCTTCCAATGCAATCAAAAATAATACCTGGAGGAACGAAACAACACGTCATCGTAGCCTGGATACCTCAGTATTTCTCTCCACTAATGTCAGAGAAATTATGATCCATCCTTTGAGATCAAAGTTTAGAGTAGAAAATAATACATTTTCATTTTACTTTGAAAACTTGGCCCTACATTGCTTTAAAGGTAATTATTTTGTAGTTAATTCATTTATTACAACCTAGTTGAGAATCATCTTTTCCCCAAGGTATTATTATTTCCCCATGAAGTTAATACACTTTTCATGAAAATGTCTATGATTTGAATGGTGAACTACCAGTCCGCTAGTTTTATGAGGTTTTTTTGAGCTAAGTTTGAAAAGAGAAAGTCGTTACACTGCTGGAAGAGACTCACAGCCCTCTAAGCTCAAGGTTACAGAGTGAGGAGCTGAAACACACCATGCACATGTTCACAACCCTCTGCTTCAGAACACCATGCTACAATTTGAGCTTCTACTAGGGGGCAAAAAGGGCATTCTGCCCTGCTGCTAGCAGACTAGACCTCCAGGGTTCCTGCAGGGTTGACTGGCAAACCAATCAATCACCTGAAATACAAAAAAATATGGAATCTTTTGTGAACCTTTTCAAAATATTTTTCAGGCTCCCCTAAAGGAAGCATGCTGATGGCTGTCAGGTAACAATGATGTTAAGGGGAAGGAATTCATGTGTCCACCTTTCTTACATATGATTCTCTGAACAGGTCTGATAGTAAAGCTTTGACTATGCCTTGAATAATTTTACAATACCAAGCAAAGTAAAACAAAAAAAACAAACGAAAAACTGTGGTCTTATAGTTTGGCTGCCGTGTTGTTCGTATATAAACCACAACAAAGGGGAACTAAGTACTTCTTCAGTTAATCTTCTAGGAGATCGCACGTCACTGAAAAGTTCCAAACATATGGCTTTAAAATAAAGGAAGAGAGTTCTGTTTCTTGCATGGCTAAATAAGCTGCTCGGAGCCCACCCTCCTGAAGATAACACCCGTTGGTGTGGACCACGTACAGAAGAGCAACTGTCTGAAGCAGTGGGGAGTTAACAAAACCAGGAGGCTGGAGCCTTGGACTCAGTGAGTGGAACAAGGAAAGTGTCCCCTCATGTGGGCTTTTTCTTGGGATTAGTAAAGCAGAGTGAAGCAAGCAAACATAGAAGAGTAAGTTAACACAGTAGCACCTGCTCCATCGCGAACACAACAGAAATGTCAAAGCACACACACGCACAAAGAGATCTAGATGGATAGATAGATAGACAGATAGACAGATAGAAGCAAGATGGCTCAAGTAAGTCACCAAACTTTTACTAGATGAGAAAACTTTCTGAAGGAAGAAATTTCACCTGATAAATAATTCAAAAGCATTATACTGCCAAAAGATTGAGGCAGATCAGGGAAAATTTAAATAAATAAATAAACAAAATAAAACAAAATCAAGGAACACAACAAAGCTTTATGAGAATTCATGGTAAAAAAAATTAGAGGAAAGATGGACAAAATAAATGAAAGATTAGAAACCGTACAAAAACAGCAAATACACACCCAGAAGATTTATACAAAAATTTCAGAAATGGATCACGAATCGCACAGGCACCGAGGTACAAGGAGTAGTCACAACAGATTGCTGCTGAGCCTCCAGCTCATACGTGCACAGCTTCATTTCAAACAAAAGGTGTTTCAACTCATCTCTGACATCAGTAGATGGCTAAAGTGAAGTTTCCTAAGTCGCACTGAGGTGCTTTTAAAAAAGATTCAATCAAATAAATAGTGGCTTTTCAGGGGATCTGTTGGGTCACTTAAATTTTAGGAGATCGGCCAGCTCCTACGTTTACTTGACTGTTTGATGGGGCCTCAAAGGGGTAACCTTGATAACATTTCTTGAAGGAGGCAGAAAGAGTACATGGGCTTAGGGAAAAGGTTTACGAAAATGTGAAACTGCTTCCGTGAGAAAAAGACCAGGGGAGTGGGGCTGAGGAATGCTGTCTTCTGCCTTGACAAAGCACCTGCTCGTTCTCTGAATGAACAAGGGCTATTCTATGGGAATTTCCTTGAGAAACCTAACCCCACCCACCCGACAGTTCTGATGATGCCCCATTCAGACTTCGTTTTGGTTCAGAAACTCAGTGAATATTAAAAATGAATGTAAAGATAATAAGAATAATTTTTTATCAATTTATTGGGGCTCATACAATTCATCACAATACATAGATCAATTGTGTAAAGCACATCTATACATTTGTTGCCCTCATCATTCCCA